TGAATCCATTGGAATCTTTCAAACCAACTCGCAACAATACCTTTACAAACTCCGATAAATACATCAATGTCTGAACTTCAATAGCTATCAGGCATAGAGACTTTACCAGGAGATACGAGTCTACATTCTCACTCAGCTCGCAAAGATTTTACAAACTGACATCCGTACCGCAATAGTATCAAGCTCATTTCTCGGAGCAGAAGAACAAAACCCACGGGACTACAAAATACAAACAAATGAAAAAGTTCTTGGAATTGGTTTTACCATGATAACAACAGCCTCCACCATCACTACCTATCCGTCCTCACTTTTCAATTTCAGTTTTTTTTTTTTTGATTAGTTTTGCTTTGTTACCCTCACAGCCTCCAATATTTCGCTATTTTTTTTTATAAGAAATGCAACTTCAATTTGTTAACTATTAAAACTATGATTCTATAACCCAATAAAATTGACCACATGTTGAGAAACTATGATTTCATAATAAGATAATAATGAATCTTAAAACATATACACGGAAAGACAAGCTGTCCCAGAAAATATTATAACCTAAGAAAGAGGAACACAATAATATGCACTACTCGGACACAAACAATATAAACATCATGTTGGTTGTCTTGCTTCCACTTTGACAATATTCAATAGTTTCAACTTATTACGGATAAGGAGTTAGCTTAAGCACAAAAAATTCATATTAATTCACACTCCAACAATACTCTTATAAAACACTTCCTTCTAATACAAGAAAACTTAGAAAGGTTTCATACTCTATCAAACTCTATTTTAACTTCAATACGACCATTATTAATTTAAGTTACAACTATCATTCTTTTCCTCTCCTTTAATATCATGGTCACCATAACCAACAGCAATCCAATACCACCCAAACTATTCATACAACGTGAACCATAAAACCCACCAAACCCGTCCTTACATAACAAACCACAAACAACGAACCAATTATGAGTTCAGACTATAAAATAAATAAATAACAACAAGACCATGTAAACATCATACAACATAGTTAACATGTTTTGTGGGCCACAACTTTTTAATATATAAACAACCATCGTAATAAAAAAAAATCTTATCACATATAATCCCTTCTTTCCTAGAAGTTTTTAAAATAAAAAATATTATTATACACATCTCTTCAAAATCTAAATTTAAAACACAAACAATGCAAAGCATACCAAAAATAAGTACCAAATATATATAAAATTTACTGGTGAAGCCATATAAGACGCCACATCAGAAAGTCGATGCATCAGAGGATGGCACATGTCCCATTACTAAAACTCACCATATCATTTACTCTGTCCAATTAATTCTTAGTCAATTTTGATCACTATCCTTTATTATACCCCACGTGATGTTATCTCCGTCATACCAATTTAGATGAAAATTTTATTTATCTACTATAATTTTTATGATGATAATACAATTAATTTATTTTGAATTTTGGTAGATTATAAAAAATTTAATTTCTCCATTTTTGTAAGGAAACAACTTTCCTTTTGAATTATTATATGTAAACAACTATTAATTTCACGACATTGGTTTAGATTTGGAGTTAATTAATAGCTATTTTAAGAGATAGTAATACATAATAGATTAAAAACATTTTTACGACATTATCACCACTATAAAAAAATTTATAGATAATAAAAATAATTGTTAGAAAATATAATAAACACATAAAAAATAAATAAAAATAAATAATAAATAATTGTTTTATATAAAAGAGATATGTTATGTTAAGTTATAACTTAATAAATGTAGAATGTATTTTAAATATTTATGTCAATGATTCTAAGAATAATATAAACATAGATTCACATCTGTGTTAAAATAACATATAGAATTATATAGTCGAATAACAGACACACAATATAAAATAATGTAAGAGAATGAATAAAACTAGATAGCTTCAAATTAAAAAAATAAATAAATCAACAATTCTACACCATCAAAATAAAAACAGAATAAAACTTCAGATAAATAATCTTATTAGTCATAAGGAGAAATTTAGTTAATTGTAATGAGAACGAAACTGAAGAAAGAATAACAGCCAGTAAAATAATGGTCCATACTAATATAGAAGAAATAAATTTCAAATAAAAATAAATATTAAAAAACAAAAATATTTACTCTAACAATTTAAATTATTTTAAAATTATCATTCCACCCGTAGGGCGGGCGGTCCTAGTATACAATGTAATAACTTGGACTGACAAAAAAAAAATGCTAATGACTTTTTATATGGTTTTCTTTTTAAATGCAACAATGGTATGCATGAAAGGTACTAGAATTATATGTAATTATGCAAGAAATAACTAACAAGAATGATGATGGACACAGTAAAAAAAATATGAAATGAAAAACTAAAATGAGATTTTTTTTGGAATTTTCTATGGATGCAACAATGAAATCAACAATATGAGCTATGCTAAAATGATTTTTATTTTTTGTCTTTCAATGCAGAATATGATATGATATGCACGAAATTAAAATGATATGTTTTTTTTTTTTATTTTGGTTTTCTTTTTTTTAGAGATGCAAATGAAAAATAAGGACATAATTCAAAACCGAGTTTTTTTTAAATGGTACGGCAAGTGGAGCTATATGGGGAATGAATGCAAACAGAAACTAAGTTTTTTTAAAAAAAAATTCGTGGATCAAAACCACTAAACTCCTTTTCTTTCTTAAGAACACAAAAATGCAGAATTTAAAATTTGAAGCAAATAACAGTTTTTGTGTTTTATAAAATGAAAACTAACAAGGAATGAAGTAAGAACAGTGATAGAGATGGATTAATATCACCTGGGTAAGGAGCCGTTCGGCTCTGATACCAAATGTTACTGGCACAGAAGCTGGGTCGATGGTTTGGATGGTTGATGGGTCGATCTTATCGGCAAGGATTGAGATCGGATGGAAAGATGGTGATAATGATCGACTTGCTGTCCCTTTCTGTCCAATCTAACCTGAAAACGAAATTAGAAAAGTGAGTTTATGAATAAAAAAAATAAGAACTGAAACTAAATAGATAAATGAATGAAATGATTGATGGATAGAAGTTTGATGATGGATGGATGGAAGATAATGGTGAATAGATGGTGATTGACTCTCTCAATCCATGGGTGCTGATTGACTCTCTCAGTCTGTGTCTCAAGGCTCCTGAATCTCACAAAGAACCTATGAACCACGAGCTCTATAGTCTTCTAATGCTTCTCACAGCTTAGAAACTAAAGAACAACTTTTACGCAAAGAAACTATCTTTGATAAAACTGAATAAATTTTTTTGTTAATTTGATGATTGAGGGTAATCTTTACAATGGAAGAAATGAGATTTATATGGAGATCCTTACATGACTATATAATGTTCTAAAAAGGTAAGAAAGGAAAAGAATCAAAAACAAAGCAAGAAATCGAAAAGTAAACGTTGGAGCATTTAGTGGGAATCTTGGCTCCAAATGAGGAATTTGTTTCTTCTTAAATCTGTACGGTTTTAATGGATAAGAGAGTTTCTTTGGGAACTTCTGGATGGCTTGGAAGGTGCTGGTGTCGTGCAAAAACTTATGGGAAAATAGCTGTTGGAGTTTGAATGCAAGAATCTCCAAATAAGGCAGCTTGGTGTTAATGAGGATCTTCTTGTTCCTATGTAGTGTGGTGCATGGTATGAACTGATAGAACTCCTCTGGCTCATGGGTAAGGTCTTATGTATGGTTGCGATGATCTCATGGCTTCCATAGAAAGCTTTGGGTCGAACCAAACTGAATTGGTTTAAGACTCTTCCCAATTTTTTGTCGGTTTGGTCAATTGATGCAAACCAAGTCTATCTTCTGGTATGATTGAGATCCGCCTGATCTCATGTGTTTTGGTGCTTCCTAATATATTTTGGAGTGCCTATGAATTACTTAGAAGGTCTCCTGATCGCCTTTCTTAAGATTGGTTTTATGCAAAGCCCGAATCTTCCAAATAAGGTAAGTGTATAGCTGGTTTAGCTGAGAAATTGATCATATCTTCTGGTTTACTCGACCCCTTCTCGTGATCTTGGGCTTTATGGAAATCTGATAAACTCCTATTGAATTCTATGATCGGATTTGGCTCGGGCTGTTCCTTCTTTGGCCTGTAAGCTTCTTCTAAAGTCGAATGATACTCGCAGATGAATAGGCTGGAAAACTTCTGACTTGTAAAATTCATAACTACTTGGTCCGTGAAGATTCTCTTGAAATTCAAATTGGGCTGGACTTCTTCTTGAGTGTAGAATCTAGGAAAGTTGGTTTCCTGATGAAAAAGTCCTCATGTCTGGTGAGATATGCCGTTTTGATTGAACACATATCTTGGTTGGTCCTTTGGTGGGCTGATTGGTGCATCTTGTGGGCTTCAGGTTCAGGTGCCGTTTATGTGTCCACAACATTCATGCAGTGGGAGGGTTGAGGGATACGGTTCAACAGTTTGACCCCTATAGTGAAACTGGTCTTGGATGGACATTTGCTAGCACGAGAGCTGGTAAACTGATTCATGCTTTTGGAAACTTTTTGTTGACGTATAGCGAGTATAAGGAGAGTTGGGAAGGGCTTCAGAGAAGAGGGATGACACATGATTTTAGTTGGGATAATGCTGCAGAGAAGTATGAAGAAGTTCTTGTTGCTGCTAAGTATCGATGGTGAGAGTTGATAAATTAAAGTTATTTTTTTTTCTTTTACTGTCTCTAAAGAATCTGTCTTTTGGAATTGTTAAGAAGCATAGTTATGTAGAGATCAATATTTTTTTTTAAAAAAATTTCTCTTGCGCTCTCTCTAAGGTAACACTAAAGTGATAGAGTTGGCAAAGTAGAACAGTAGTTAAAATGAAAGAAAATAGTTTTATGAAATCAAGAAGATGGGAATAAAACAGGTGAGGGAGTTCTAGAGAATTTGCTACCATTGAAATCAATGTTGTTGAGCTTGTGTTGACACCATTTGAGGTGAGAAGATGAGACCAAAGACATTTGTAAAACTCTAGACACTAGCTTTAACTCTATTTTTATACATGTTACTAACATAGAGTTTTCATCTTTCTCAGTTTCATCTACTTCCATGTTAGGTAATTTCTTCTTCTTGAACCAAATATTCTTCTTGTTTCCTTGTGCCTCCTTCAACGACTGTTTATTCTTCATAAATCCAGATGTTTTAACATTTTTAGTAAAAAAAAATTAAAATTGGAAAAGCTGAAAAAAAATTTGAAGATATTTTACCTTTTGGAGTAAATTTTTTAGGTTAAGAAAAAGCATAATGTCTCTAGGATCTTCCACTTCCATACGAGGAGAGTTGACGAATGAGATTTTAAGTCTTTCCCAAACCAAAGGTCTCTTGATGTCTGCCTTCACAAAGTCATAGAAGACTGTAATGCATCTCTGTATTGTTTTCATCACTTGTTTGTCACTTCTTTCTCTCCCACCTTCCTGTGGTCCCTTCCTTTTATATCCTTAAAATTACAACAATAAAAAATTGACCAAAAAGCTATATGAGTTATGAAGAGAAGTCTAGGATGTAATGTGGAATTATTAGACAAACTCAGAATGAATCGAACAAAATAATCATTGACATTTCTTTGAATCTTGGACGCACATTTTTTCTTGGTTAACATATAGAGTTGACAATTCTTCAAGATTTAAGTTAGATTAAGACAAGTTAATAGATAAGGTTGTGTGTTCTTGTGAGTTGTGTGACTTATCTACCAACTTACGTCAAAGGATTATGTCGACACATTAACTGTTAGAAGAAGTTTGACTATCAGAAATGCAAATTACAATTCCATACCGTATGATATTTAATTTACTTACATATATTTTAAAAAGATAAAAAACTAATTGATAGATTCGTCGCATCTAAAATGAAAGCTACTTAAAATTTTAAAACCTTTCTTAAGGAGCTTAGTCATTACTCTTTGATTGTCACGGAACCTGTTAAAACTTATATTTGACAGCAACTTATAAATTTTGTAAGAAAAAAGAGAATAAATGAATAATCAATTAATATTACAAACAAAAATGAGGTTATGGTTCCTATGATTCCAACCAACGTAATTAAAAACTATACAGTATGAACTCTCAATTCATACACGATGTAACCTACCAAGAAAAGTAATACATATATATAAAGTTTATAAAAAAATATTTGTATTATAAATATGATACTAGATCATGATCCGCGCACCCGCACGGATTTTATTTTTCGGATGTATTCTACATAATTTAGTTTTATATAGTTTTGAGTTTGTCCAATTCGATTTTATGTTTGAAGAACAATAGCAAAGTTGTCTTTTGTATTAATAACGTTAAACAGTATATTATGCAGATGTAACCGTACAGTGAAAATACAATTTCTGTATATTTGTTCTATGTGCAAAATCAAATTCAAATTTAACTATTTGCGTTAAAAAAATAAGTTGAGAATTTAGTTAATAATTATCCAAAAGTTTTAAAATAAAATACAAATTTATAGAACTTTAGCCTTAACCTTTATTTTATAGGTTATATCAAATTCAAACTAAACTTTGGTCTTAACTTTACAAGCGTAAAATATTTTATGATAAAAATTTCATAAATAACTTAACAAATATCTTGGTAATTTGAAAGAATTTTTTTATTTAAAGAAAGAAATAGTAGTATAAAGAAAGAAATATTAGTGATTTAACGCAAGTTTAACTATAACTCTATAACGTAGAAAGATGTATTTAATTTAAAAACTTACAAAATAAATATCAAGTTCAACCTAATGTTTCTGATTTAATAAGATAGATGATGTTAATGTTTATGATAAAATAAATCAACTAGTCATACCTGAAAGTCTTGGGACTTGAAAGAAGCTCATGAGTTCAAACCTTCTTTGAACAAAGCTCAATACCCTTTTTCCTTCACACCTTTCATCTTCTAAGAATCTCTCTAATAAAATCTGAAACTTCTGAAATTCTTTGGAGATTTCATTGTCATACGACCCGCCTTCCGAATCAGAAGCGTTCAGTCTATCTCTCACTGTTATGTACTGGTGCTGGAGAGCTTCCCATGATAAACATGATTGAGCAACATAAACTAACTCAAGATCCTTCTCTATGCTTTGTTTTAGCCTCTTCTCTGCCGTTATTCCCCATACGCTCAAAGTACTTGCCGTTTCTTGGTTCATCATCACACCTAGGAATGATAACAATGGATTTAAACATGAACGACATTATGATATGATATAAAATATTAAAATGTAATAAAACTGCTTTATGGAATAAATAAAAAGACTTACTTAGTCCATAGGTTCTATCGCGGCTTAGGATGTCATACCATTTCATTCGTTCGCAGTATTGATTGTATACTTCATTGGTTTCATCATCTTCATCTTGATTAGTTTGATTCTCCATCACAGTCGAATCTTGTAGATGTGAATCAAAGCTTAAAATAGAGAAAGGAGAGGGTTGATCTCTATCACTAGCTTCTAGAGAAGATAGATCACTCCCCATGTCTGAGTTAACAATATCTTCTTCTTCTTCTTCATCATCTTTGGCTAAATGGCATTTAATTTCTTGATCCATTGGCAAAGTCTGAAGTTCGAAGTCAAGATTATTCTCCACGTTCAAGACATCAACAAAGTCAAGAATGTCTTCTTCCCCCTCGCTTTCCTTAACATCAAGAAAATGAACAACACCATCTTCCTGATCAAGTTGACAGCAAAACTCTTCTTCATCTTCAAGAATCTTGCCTTCTTGAAGAGCTACGAGAACTTTTAATTGACTATCAACTTGATCTTTAAACGAAAAGCTAAACGAAGGAACAGGATTATGAATTCCCCTAGAAAGTTCCAAATTAGCATGGGTGTTCTTATTCTCTTGCCTAGACTCAATATTATAATTAACCTCCCTTCTACTCATAATGATTCGGAGAAAACTATTAAATAGCTTAGAAAACGTGACCAAAGAGGATAAAAATGCGTTGTAAGACGCTTGAAAGAATGGGACAAGCCATAAAAAGAAGAGACTGAGCCATATAAGAAGTTGGCAAAGAAAGAGACAAAGAGGGTGCATGAACAATTTCATGTAGGACCAGTTCAAGAAACCATCCTGAATTACAATGGATTCTATGATTAGCCAACATGATGAGAGTAAAGCCATGAAAATTCAGAGAGAGAGGGGGGCGAGAGAGAGAGAGAGAGGCACTAAAGAGAGTGGCTTTATAACGAAGAAAAAAAAGAAGATGACGATGAAGAAGAAGCTGCCTAGAAACAGCCTTGTTGGAATTTTTGCCTCAGACTAATTGTTAATAAATAAAGTTGTTCAAACGTCACCTCATCTTTGAGTGTTTCTTTCTTATTGATGCGGTTTTTGGTTATAAACACATGTTGGAAAAATATACAAATTTTACTTAAAACTAACACCAATTTGAAACATATAAACATTGGATAATTGTTAACTAAAACCTAGTATAAGCTACACCTGTATTTTCAAAATTACAAGAGCCAACTTGACCTTCACCCCCCTCCCCCCTAAGCCGTACTTGAATAATCTAGAGCACGGATATAATCTCAAAGATTCCAAACTGAACACCTTTATTGAAGTTCTTTAAACAAATTACACACTAACTTGTTTAATCAGGTTTACTTGACTTCACAACTTGTGAATCAACACTGAACAACTTCAAAAACACACGAGACTCAAAACACTTTCTGGTCTCGTTGTAAAACTCTAAAAACCGTACCAGACCTAAAACACCAGCCTCGCCTTTTATAGTCCTAGACGAGCTGATAATTTAGCTTACAGATAGCATTAAATCTATTATTCTAATTCCTATAATCTCTCAGATTTAAGTATATCCTAACATCAGATAACTCTTCACTTGCCACGTCACCACATGCGTTTGAATTAGTCCCGCCTAAACTCGAACTTAAGCAATCTTCTAATTGATGAAGACTTCACTAGTTTTCATGTCTCAACAATCTCCCCTTTTTGAGTGTCTATCATCACCAAACACCTGTCTATTAACTTCAAGTACCTGTGACATAAACCACTGAACAGCAACATCTATGCATAAATACATACTAATGTTAGTAAGCATAAACCATAGCATTCAACCAAGTGATCATTTTAGAAATACAACACCAGCACCTCTAACCTCACAACCATACATAAATATCTTAACAAAAAAAACTTATCCGCATCTTAACCGTCTTCCCCTGAACTTAGAACAACTAATGAAAAACAAACTCCTCCTAGAACTGAAAAAAAACTCCCCCTAGATCTTAAAACTCCCCCTAGAACTTAGAACTCCTCACTATGACCGTCGTCATTGCCTTCATCTTCATCTTCGTCACTGCTGCTATCACCTAGATTAGACAAATCCCTATATTCTCCCCCTGCTTGGTGGCATAGACACTTAAAAACAGAGTTATGAAAACAAGAATGTAACTCCAAAGTTATAAGTCACTTACTCGCAGATCTTCTGATGACGTTGTCAATGAGGCGATAGACATGATCAATGTCCTTAGTCAAAGAGCGTTGAGGGTATCGGATGCTGAGATTGAAGCAAATGCTGAATAAGACCCGGGAAAAGCAACTTCTTCGTCTTGCCCGATGCAGCTTGCTGTCCCAACTCAAAAATCTGATCAAATATCATGACTCCAAAATCAAATGACCTTCCTTCAGTGAGCATGTGAATGAACTTAATTCGATCTATGGTCAGTGTTGATCGATTTGCTGTGGGAATCCAATTGTAGACACAAAACTTGAACAAAATGTTCATTGCTGGTGTTATGTCGAGCATGCTGAGATTCCCCCATTTCTTCTTCTTTCCTCCAGTGATGGTTTCCACAGCCTTGTCAAGATTCTCAGTGACCCATGGCTTTCGAGAAAAATCGACCGATTGATCTGGTGTCTTGAAGATGCTGTTCATTATAGCAGGAGAGAATTCATACATGTGATTTCTCACATACACCCAAGTAGTACCACCTCGCTTGATCATGTGTCCTAGATTAGCATAGAACTCCAATACCACTTCCCTGGGTGAACCACGACAGATCCAGAACCGTATACATTAACCCAGCCTTTTCAATGATCATACTAGCTTCCACAAGTTTCTTATCACTCAAAGGCAGAATCTTTTCACCTAGGATGGTTTGAGACACCAAATACTCGTACCTTTTACTTCCTGCAACTCGGTAGAATGAACCATTGAATGGTGGACGCTTTGGATTTTGCAAACTAGGAATGGCTGTGATACGAGATTGATGCTGAACTCGAAGATGTTGCAGTCGCGGTTCCAGTTCCTCATAGACAAACTCCTCTCTTGCATTGGTTTCCATCAACTCAGGTTCATCATCGTCATTTTCAGTCTCACTTTGGTCTTGCATGTCGGACTCCGGAGCTTGTTCTTCTTCCTGACTATCAGCGACCACTTCAGAAGTCACTTCAGTGGGTTGCTCTGAGAAGATCTCTTCAATTGTTGTAGATCTCTTCTTTCGGCGACCTTTGGAGTGACGGATCTTGTTACGGGAAGTGCCTTCGAGCTCAACCAGTTTCTCTGGAGATGGAGTGGTAGGGTTCCTTGCAATCTTGCGAATCAGTGAGGCCATGACTTGACCTCGTGTTCGTGGTCTAGATTCTTTGCTCATCTGGGGATCTTTAGGAAAAGAAGTTGTAAACGGCGTGATTCCTTTTTGACCTAGCAATCTTCTTTAAATAACCCTACTTGTCACACAAAGCTCACACAACGGCCCATTAGCAATAACCAAACACAATTTTAACCCAAGGTGTAAGCCCACTATGCCTTAGGTGAGAAATGCTAGATACTAAGGACTTTGGCGACTGAGAATGATCATCAACAAAAAAAATAACAAAGCAGAAAGAAAATTAACACCTAAATAAAAAAACTGTTATTTACATACTTGTGCAGACTTGGCTAGAGGAGGATTCAACATTTTCACGTATCATGCAGCAGAGACCCATCAAGAAGTATTTTGATTGATAAAACTAAAACAGCATCAACCTATTGGCTCTCCGCAACGGCTATCTTGTGACAGCTTTCATCACTTCGATCAAAACGTACTAGTCTTCACATCATCATACACACGAAGTTTATTACTTCTAACCAAGATCAAGCTAAAGAAGAAAATTCCAAGTAAAAGCCCAATCAAAACATTGATCTCAGTCAATGTTTAAGTATTTTTGTATCCAAATCCAACGAGATTGTTTATCACACTGGGAGGTTCTCTGCCAACTTCATCATCAAGAAGTATATCATTCATATATATATATATATTTTTTCAATACTCCTTCACTTCTTCACTCTTTACTACTTATCACAGGCTTAAGCACACATTTTTTTTTCTTTGCCTTTTTTTTTTTCTGTTTAAAGAACCCTTTCTTTTACTTGTAACTTCTTCTTTTACCTGCCAAGTTCGGACAGTGATCAGCTTAGACATAAACGTTGCTGCGTCCAGATCCAAGCTGAGTATCCTTCATTCTTAAACAGTTCAATACTTACACAGCTTAGCTATAACTGTTGTGTCATCCATATCCAAGGGTGCATTGAGACTGTTTCTTGGTTTAAACTCCCAAAGTAATCTTAACTTACTAGTGCATGATGAGTAGCCCTCTTTACGCCTGACTTGCCAACAGGAGGTATTTATCTCTTTGTAAGACTCGTGAAAACTTCTTGATAGTTTCTCTGTTCATACATACGTAGAACCTGTTCAACCCTCATAGCTCAAGCTTCACAAACTCCAATCGCCTTTCTTAAGTTTAAAAATGTATTTAGATCAAGAGCTCTGGTAAAAATGTCTGCTAACTGTCGTGCTGATGTTTAGTCTTTGAGTGCATCACAGGATTTTTCGATATGTTGATTGCACTCTGATTATCACAATATACCATGAGTGGGTTTGAGGTCATACCATAGTTAGCTAGCACGTGTTTCATCCATAGCAATTGAGTACAGAAACTTCCAAGAGCTATGTATTCCGCCTCTGCAGTTGACAACGATACACAGTTTTGCTTCTTACTGTGCCAGGACACCATATTGTTACCTAAGAAGAAACATCCACCAGATGTACTCCTTCGGTCATCCAAACTTCCAACCCAATCTGCATCACAAAAACCAGCCAAATTCAAATTAGTGTCTTTTGTGTAATACAAACCAAGGTTTATTGTTCCTTTCACATATTTGATTATCCTTTTGAGTGCATTGAGATGTGATACACGGGGACAAGCTTGATATCGAGCGCATACACCCACACTGTAACAGATATCAGGACGACTTGCAGTTAGGTAAAGCAAACTTCCAATCATTGCTCGATAGAACTTCTCATCCACTTTCACACCATTCTCATCTTTCGACAGTTTGCAGGTTGTACTCATTGGTATTCTAGACTCCTTGGACATGTGCATCTCAAATCTGGCGATCAGGTTCCTGGAGTAGGTGCTCTGTGAAACGAAAATCCCTTCATCCATTTGTTTGATTTGAAGTCCCAAGAAATAGTTAAGCTCACCGACCATGCTCATCTCAAATTCACTGGTCATTGTTTTAACAAACTCATTCACAAGTGCTTCCTTTGTACCTCCAAAGATTATGTCATCAACATAGATCTGCATAACCAACATCTCACTGTTCTTCTCAAGAATGAACAAGGTTCGATCCACATTTCCACGCTTAAAACCTGCCTCAAGAAGGAATTGCGTGAGTCTTTCATACCAAGCTTTAGGGACTTGTTTCAAACCATATAGAGCTCTTTTCAGTTTATAGACATGTTCAGGAAACTTGGGATCTTCGAATCCTTTTGGTTGTGCAACATACACTTCTTCCTGGAGTAACCCATTCAAAAATGCACTATTGACATCCATCTGATATAGTCTAATGTTCAGCTTGCATGCAATTCCAAGTAACAGTCTGATTGATTCCAACCTAGCTACAGGAGGAAAGGTTTCATTGAATCCACACCTTCTATCTGGCAGTATCCTTGAGAAACCAATCTTGACTTGTTTCTAACAACATTTCCATCTTCATCTATCTTGTTTTTAAAGATCCACTTTGTTCCAATCACGTTCACACCTGAGGGTTCTGGTACCAGTTCCCATACATCATGTCTAGCAAACTGTTCAAGTTCTTCATGACACGATTCTATCCAGAATTCATCTTCTAATGCTTCATAG